AAAATATCAATTGACCCGTATTGACCAGTATTAGCCAGTATTTTCCCTGAATTTAAATCTGGCATGGGCAATACCGGTATTGACCCGTTTTTGCAAATCTTGTAGAAAAAATGGCCTAAAGACTAATTGTTTAACAAATTTGTATAACCAATTAAGATTGGAAGTTGGAAATATAAAATTAAGTCTTTTTACCTAATTTTCACTGTACAATTCAATGTTTGTATTTCTAGTAAATTATACAAGTATAAATATATAATATCTGAAAATATTCAAATATATTTCTTTTTAAAAACACTGTGATTGAAATTATATTTTTCTCACGGTTCCATTATTTTTTTCTTTCATTTATTAACTTTCATGAAACACATTGTGATGTAATTTCCCATTATATCAAAAACGAAATAGTATTTTTATTCTTTTTGTATAAACTACACACCATATGAAATAAAGATATCCGCAACTCCTTTGGTATGGCTTTGACTTTTGATATTATTTTGTAACCAACGCAAACCGGGTGTTCATGTAGCACGTATCAAATATAGGGTATGTTGTGTTTTGTGGTTTTTCGTTTTTGTCATGGCATTGTCAGTTTGTTTTCGACTTATGAGTTTGAATATCCCCCCTCTCTTCTTTGAAGTCACGAATTGAGTGAAACGCGGTTGCCAAATTTACCAATTTTATTTCTGTATTTTGATAGTTATTGATTTCAGTTTTTTATTATTTTCCTTTCGAATACATATTGATTCCAAATATTTAGACTTAGATGTGGAACACACTGACGAAGCTTACATCTATTAGCACATACTATTATAGTACATTGTTAATAGAAACTTATTTACAGTAAACATGTTTTCCATTGTAATCCCATAGTGAGTACATACATCTTTATACTATGCAGATTAGTTCACACAGTACCTTCAAGAGAGTCAAAGTCAAACATTTTATTTGTCACGTTATTATTGTTAATGGCCTAATACTTTTAAACTATCTTGTTTGTTGAAAGCTACTTCTATATCGCTTACAATTAAGCTTAGTATCTATTTGAAGAATGCACGGAAAGCTAGATCGGATATTATTGGTTAGTTATATTATTATTGTATTGTTCTCTGCTATCAGTCTTATGTCACATTGTGTATATATTATGTATTGCCATAGCATGTCCTGTAAGCACTTGCAAATAAAATATTCAAACATTATTAGTATAAAACCCAATATCTGGATTGCCATTAAACAACAAACACAAAAATCATACACCGGATCTGTATTGCAAATGCTACTAGCATTATATTTTAACTTCATATGCCGCGATATAGATGTCCTCTTATTGAATAGTGATTACTTTGACTGTACCTATCCCAATTTACAAGGGAACCACATGCATGCAGAGAAGTGTCTGCTCCATACCTTTACTCCTACCTTGAAATAAATAGAAAGGGTCGATCAGTTGGGGCCTAAAGTTTACGACAATAGATCGACGTGGCCTCAATTTTCCAAGTTTGAACTTTCCATTTTTATATAGTAACATTCCAGTAGCACCTCAAATGTAGTTATATATTTACATGTTTTCTGATAAGGTAGTCTATGATATAAGATTAGTGCTTACAAGGAAACAAGGCTTGCTCGTGGAAAAGTTTAAGTCATCGTCCCGAAAGTTTAACGAACGCCATCCTGATCAGATCGGCTCACTATAGTTGGTATAGAATATCTTTGTCACAAAATTGATATAATTGCTTACATCCACCTTATTTGAACTTTGGTGGATAGTTGCCTCATTGGATATCATACCACATCTCTTTATTTTTATTCATGTTCAAATTCAATTCGATATTCAGTAAACAGACTACATAAACAGAGCTTTTCAGACTAAATAACAATATATACAGTCCGCCAAAAGTTAAGCACCACCTATCTTTGTTGCATCGAAATTTTTTTCATTTGAAAAAACCAGTTAATCCTTGAAAAAGAGAAAACATTCATGTAGCAATTTTGCTAACATATGCCATAAACAAACCATAAACTTAAGTTTGGTCACTGATGCAGGTTCTATGCATTTGAATTTTGCGTTCATAGTAGTAGTGAAAATTACACAAATCAGAAACGGAATTTAAGTTTTACTTTGATTTTATTTTTTCTGCAACAATTAATCACCCAAAATCATTAAAGTCTCTACAAATAATCTTTGGTATGTTCGGCAAATTTAATGTCAAAATTTAAGTCAGTAGGATGTGTAACCACCTCTCTTCCGGTACAGTTCCATAACACGGCGTCTAATACTCTGTACAAGCCTTCTGAACTTTAGTTGAGCAAATTTATTCCATTCATCAACAATTGCCCCTCTTAAATCGCCAAGATTTTGCAAAGGTGGATCTCTGCGATTGAGATTTCTGCCAATGGCATCCCAGACATGTTCGATAGGGTTCAGGTCTGGAGACATGGAAGGCCAAAAGATAGTGTCAATGGCTTCTTGGTCTTTGTAATCGGTTACAATCCTTGCCCTGTGTGTCTAGCGTTGTCGTCCATGTACGAGGGTCTTGACGCAAGTTGGGAATTCTCAAAATGAGGGACTCCACTGTTTCTAAGCAACAAATCTCTGTATGTCTGTCTGTTCATGTAACCCTGCAAAATATGCATACCCAGCTTACAACAGTATGAGAAGAAACCCCATACTGCAACACCACCATCAACGATTGCTGTCGTTGGGCAATTGTTGTTTTGGTGATAGGCAGTTTTATTTCCCCGCCAAACTCGTATTCTGCCGTCTATTGGTCGTAACAGAAACCAACTCTCATCTGACCAATGAATATTTTGTCAGGTTCGCAACGTTCCATCGTCGATGGTCATTAGCCCTTTGAAACCTGATTGTACGGTGCCTGGCTGTTAGGGCACGTCTTTTGACAACACGATATGCTCTTAGGTAGCCTCTATGAAGTCGACGGACCAATGTTCGAACACTAACACGACCACCTGGAGGCCAGTGGTGTCTAAGCTATGGGGCAGGAGTAAATGGGTTGGCTTTAGCACGACCAATAAGTAGTCTGTCATCACGATAGGTAGTTAAACGGGGTCTTCCGGACCTTGGTCCATCATTTACAGTTACTGTGTCAATATGACGTTGTAAAAATCTGACAATGACGGTGCGATTAACATTGAAATGGTTACCAATGCTCCTAGTGCTCCTGCCGGCATTTGACATGTCAATTGCTTGTCAACGTTCAGTCACAGATAACTTACCGCTTGCCATATTTCACAGTGACTTGGTGAAGGTCAAAGTTCACCTGTACGCGGGACAGTAGGAAGATGATTTAAAGGCATCGAAACAGTGTATTTGTAAAAGTGCAGATGACCTTTAATAAAAGGTTGCCTTGCGGGTATTTCGGAGTTTAATTTTTTTGGTCGTAATGAATTTTCTTAGTGTATGCTATAGGCAATTCATAACACCAAACATAAATATTTTTTTCGCAATAGTTAAAAAAAATATTGAGTTATATTTAGGTGGTGCTTAACTTTTGGCGGTCTGTATACATATACACACATATACAAAAGTAGATCATGAAAACAACACAATTTTAAACATATGATGCATGGTATAAGATAATATAAATGACAAGTATAATAGTTAAAAGCATAGTTTCAGTCATATTTAAGGAAAAAATGCTTGCAAAATAAAGTATATCTTAAAACAAAGCATAAGTAAGAATATTAAACACGGCAAATAATAAATATAGAAACAAAAAAGCTACACACATCAAGCAGTCAAATAAAATAAAAAATAAAAAGCACAAGCATTAGAGCATTACAGCACTTTATGCATGCACCGCACCGGCATGTGACGTTGTTTAATCGGTCAAAAGATGTGTCCATGCTACAGTGGGTATAGGCAGCTCATTCCATATTTTGCAGCTTTAAAACGAAACGATTTCAAACCATATATACATGACTGTTCTGACTCTCGGGAGAGCTGCTATATGATGTCCTTTGATCTATTATGATAGATCTGAATTTTGATATCAATTATCTCAAGCAGATAACTTGGACTTTTTAAATGAATTATTTCCAATGTTTCTGTCGCAATACTTTATACTCTCCAAATTTTTTTAAAAAGGTTATTTTGATTTTTCTAGCAGTTTTATTTAAAGAACTATCATAGACGAATCTAAGAGCTCCTTCTTGATTTGTTCCCCATTTTGAAATATCTTTTTTCGTTATAATCTAGTCCCAAAGTATTGGACAATAGTTAAAATTTGAGAGAATGAATGAATAATATGATGTCAGAGACATATAATACATTATATGTCTCTGATGATGTTAATCTACCTACCCTTTTTAAGTATTTGGCCATCTGTTTTAGAATATTCAATAGTCTTAATGCCTCTTTAGACATTTCAGATATTATGCATGTTAAAGTTTTAGTCCAAATATATATATGGTAACTCCCAGAAGTTTAAAATTTTCTTCACAAGAAATTTTGTTTCCGTTGAAGTTAAATGTCATATTATGATTTTTTTTCTTGTCGTGATCAAATTCAACGGGAAAAGGGAATGTTTTTTCCCTCCTTTTTTGTTATCTGTTTAATGTGAAGGGTAACTGAGACTTAGAATAACGTTTATAATTACAGTAAGGTCTAAGGTCAAATTCAATTTAGGAATCGATATCAATCTAATTACTGTCTTTCATGTGTATATAATTAACAATTTAGATGAAAGGTGGTCTAATTACAGTACCAAAATTGCATTAAATATTTCAATTTAACAACTAACATGATTAATCTAACACAAATTTTGTATGTTGCTTATTTGACAGAGCTAATGCACATGATTATTCTTGCGCATTTTTGTATATTGCATAAATAGTGAAAAACCTTACACAATTGACCCCCAAAAAATGATTACTAGCAGTTTCTAGATCTATATTTGGGTTTTACTATGTTCTATTTTTAGACCGTTAAAATTAGATATATCGTGTTACTGGAAAAATCCAGTTATAACAGATAAATTTTATAAAAACCGTTGTATTCAATAAATTACCCATTTGTCAAATAACTTCGAAATGGAAAAACTAATTATGGTAAGTTATTTTTAGGAATGTTTATTTTTACAGTAAAATATTTTATGTTTCTGATTATAATAACTAAAACTGATGTATTAGCTTTGCGACTTAATTTAGTTATATATTTCATGCAAAAAAAACTTTTATCGTGAAAAAGAGTTTGATTTGATACAGAAAACACACAAATAACTCACAACTGGAAGAAAAACTGGCAAATCATTTAAAAAGGTAATTCATCCACAAAACACTATATAGAAAACTTAAGACTGAGCATGGAATTATTATACATGGACTGAGCAACACGTACCCCACCACAAACTGGGGGTCATGAAAATATGCACAGAAAAATATATTAACATTAATCATATGTGCCATGCGCAAATAATCTCGCTAAAAACCTCTTCGCAAACTATAGGCGTGTCGGCATTTCTCGAAGCATTTGACACCCGCTTATAAAACTACTAAGAGGGACATTGCATTTGCGTTTAAATACAAAATTTAGGCGAGGTGGTTTAGCGCAGTTAGCTCTTATAATCGGTTTTAGCATGGAAGTAATATTGAATATTACTTCCATGGTTTTAGTAAATAATTATTCTAACAAGAGATAAAATATATCTAGTTACATGTTTATTATTATCGTAACTGATCTGATGATTGTCCCTTACTAACGGTACAATCTGTTATTTTAATTACATAATTAATATAAATATCCTACATATTGAACCCTGGATATCAAACCAAAAGTAGCAAAGAACTTATATTCACACTTCAATCATCTACATTATATCTATGCTTCCATAAATAATTTCACTATTTTCTTTCAATTCGTTTCCTACGCTACATAATTAATATTCAGTCCGTTACATAATTATGTGTGTGTAAGATAATCATTTATCAGTTAGAATCCCAATAAACCGTTATATTATTAGTTATTCCTGGGGTTATTTGTGCGTAGGACAGAAAACAATTACATTGTTTTATAATGATCGCATGATGATTGATTAATCGATGGTATGTGTGTGAAAATCACAGTCATACTGAGGAAATACTTGTAACGTGTATTTCCTCCAGGAAATGATTTATGAATGGGTTGTGCACTACATAAATTACTAATTATTCATGTAACCTTGTATATCTGAATATATGTAACTCTTTAAAGTGATCTTCTTAAATAAACCATCCTCATGTAACATATTTCTAGGGATGAATTTTTTCCTTTGTTAAATTCTGAGGGCCTGTGGTTAAAAACCCGATCGGACAAGTCACTGTTCAACGCCTCATAGCGTGACTCAGCTACAGTGAATGAACTCGGCGCTATGACGATATTTTTGTTTTTCTTTATTTGGAGGTCAACTTATTTTTAGCCGAACACATGTTAGGGAAATTCTTGCGTGTTTCCTAGTTTTCGATTGGTCACAATTTCTACGTCACGATTTTCCCTTAGATTTGATTGGTTGTCCGGCAGACAGGGCAGTCTAAGATATCAAAACAGGATGTTGTATGTGTTATTGCTCATTAACTACGCTATACGCGTGTAGATCACATCGCTATCAAACAGTGATCAAATATTGTATTAATTACTAGGACTTATTGTTTACTTTTAGGAAAGTCTGTTCGGAAGGAATATAATGGCTACAGAATATCAGAGACTGATTGCACTTTCATTGGGAAAAATTGCAGCATCAAGGCAGAAACGTGGAGGGATAAACTTACATAAAAACTTACTCGTAGCTAGTGTATTGCATAAAGCACGGAGTGCCTATATGATGGAAAATTTACAAACAATGCTTGCAAAGAAGGCACAACAGAATTCGGAATCTAAAATTGGACTTTCAAATCAGCAGATAAGTAATCAAAATTCTTCTGTTTCAAATACTAGTAGTTTACAGTCGAGTACACACAATAGTCTAGCGGTAAAAAGGTCGCGATTAGAAACTGATTATAGAGTCAACAGACCATGTCAAGAAGACAAAGAAAATGCACCGCCAAAATGTTCTAAACTGGACAATGAAAATGTTTCAGACAATCCTCATTGTGATAAAACAACGGAAAAATGTGAACTGACATATACGCATCACAATGGACATGTTCTCTCTGAAAGTCAATGTACTGATTCAAACGAGGTCAACGATTACGTCAGCAACTGTTCTAGGTGCGCTAGTAAACGCAGGCATGATCATGATCAATCACAAACAGAGGATGATCATGATGTGATCGTTATTAAAAAACGGCGTTTGGAATGTGATGAAAAACTTTCTGACTTTAACGAAGATGCAGAAGATATGCAAACAGACTGTGCTCAAATGACAACTTTAGTAAATGTATTTAATACAAGTTTAGGTGGTCTTTGTGCAGAAATGTCTCGAACTTCAAACGATGATGCAGACGACGAAGCGGACGATGAAGATAGTGATGAAGAAAACGACGAAGTGTTCTACACTAATTTAAATACAACAAAATCAATAAGTGGATATCACGGACTTAGTGACAAAGGAAATATTTATTGTGGTTCGAACGTTGTGGACTCGGTAACCATGCCAACTCCGATAGCATTAACGGTATGATAATCATGGTCAGTGCTTTATTGGTTGCAAAACAAATCGCTCATTTCGTCCATCCTTGCCAAAGATTTAAAAATAGGATTGACCGGACTTAACTTTGGATTTAATCCAGATAAATAAATTGTTTACCCAAGATGGTAGTACACAAGTACACACCGCTTTATCGATTGATTTTTGGTGACACTTTAACGGTTAAATGGGAGATCAATAACAACACTGCCTTTACAAATCGAACAATACAAACTTTTAATCAAATAATGAGTGAATGAGAATAAATAATTGACTTGAGTATGGATCGGGAAAATGTCTTTGTTGGATGAGAGTGCATTGTTCATGAACGTATGAATCAGCGAACCGTGTCAAAATTTTACATGTCATTGTGTCACTGATTGTGAATCATAATTTAATCATATCCATATGCAAATGAGAGAGTGTGGACAGATTTTTTGTGTATGAACTAAGACTGTATTTATATGTTATGAATGTTTATTGTATGTAGATAGAATATTTATTTATTTATGAATATGATGAGAAAAAAAAGTTAAAAAAAAATCCTATAAAAATAATAAAATAAAATATTTAAAAATAATTTTACTTTTTCTTATTATTTATCAAAATATGTTATGTATTATTTAATGCTTATTAAGCCGTAAAACACAATATTCATCTGAGAACACTGCAAATCGTCATTACTGCATACCAGAGTGGGATTATTGAATAGTTTTATCCAACCGATTATGCAGCAGTGAAATACATAGACAACCATTAAGCATATTTAGCATTATCCTCTTTGAGAACAAACGAAAGCAATAGTTGTTGGTTAATTCATCAATTGACTGTTAACCAAATTTCATGGTTAAAAAAACAATGTTACATGTAAAAGCAACGCTTAATGCAGTTGGGTCTTAATCTTGATTGAATCATAATTTTAAATTATCATTTAGTATCGAAATTTGAACACTATATGACATGTGTCTGATATGTTTGACCTACATTGATGGTCATGAACACAATGCGCTAAAACAATAGTACCTTTTTGCACTTGACCGAGCTCAAAGAACTACCATTTTATCAAATTGATAATTTAAGTGATGCTGTTTCATGGGTGGTGATTTTCTCAGCTATTTCACAAAAACATTGTTTGCCCTTGGCTATTGGCTATTGACATCTTTATGGTCCTGACACTTGTGACCTCGACGACCTTTGCTCTGCATTACCAGTCAGCTGTGGATCGACGCTAAATTAACAATTGAATTGATGAAAGCAATAGCCTTGAACGAATAAGTTCAAACTTGTCCAACTCAAAACACTTACTATGGCCATCCAAAAATAGACAAGTTATCAAAGCCTTCATTTGAAAACAATGAAATACATGTACTCAAATAATATACAAAACACATTCAGTGTAGCACTAATTTATTGATACATGTACATGTATTTGGTGAACTTTAATATTACACATAAACATACTTTGCAATTGCAAGACATAAAACATCAGCAACAGAACTTATGAAGTCTATTACTCACGACTTTGGAAAAAAATTACACTGACCTACAGAAAAAATTTCTTGTAAACTGCTAATCTTTATAGAAAAATGTCAAAACCTGCAAAAATACAGATAATCTTAAATGTCAAAACGAATAAAAGGTCAACATTTTTCTAAGTGAAAAAAAAAACAATTTGAAAGAATAGTTTCATGACTTAGAAAAAAAATCATCAGGAAAGTGAATGTTTGTTTATTAATATACGCTATCTGTTGTATTACCAGCAAAAAGTCTTCGATTTGAATGCAAAATACTAAAAACAGAATTTGTGTTGTGGATTAATATAGTGACAAGGTAATTCCAATCGCACAAAGGTCACAATTTAGGTGACACAAAGACAACTTCAGCGATTGATTGATTGACAATGGGAATACACACATATAAATTCCAGTTACGCAACAAAATAGCCCTGAAGGCAAGGGAAAAGGTCATCGATAAATTGATTTACTAATTGGACAGAAGTTATAAGGACACGTAAGTACTTCTACGTGTTCTAAGTAACGACATGAACTTAACTTTTTCAATCCTAGCGATCAGGGTGAAGTTCGCCTACACAACAGAATCTGTCTCACTCCCATGTTCCACCGCCTCCGCTGATACATAGATATTTGTTTGTCAACAAATACTGTATCTTGATTACTGTAATATAAAATCGATACGTATGATCAATACTATACTGACGGTAACTATTTAGATATGAAAACAGACTGTTGACGTCATAATCAGCTTGAAATTGTCCGAGACCGTGACACTTTATCATGTTTTTTTTTAAAACTGAGGTCATTATATACATGTATGTAAACTATTAACATGATGAAGCGCAGGAAAAATACGATAACTGGAAAAGGAGGGTAATGAATTTTGATGAACTGCAAAGTAACTTTTATTTTATGATAGAAACAATTTTGATTTTGAAAACCATTTGCCATGGAACATTGAAACATTGCACACATAAACCTAATTCCTGCATGGAAGAAAACAACAAATACCCGGATATTCTTTATCAATATTTTCCACGAATGGCGAGGCTAAACTCGAGGATTAACAATTAAATTCTAAAATTAATTTTATCAATGAAATATGAAGTATGAATAAAAGGGGATGAAGTGTACATGTCAATGAGACAGCATCGTAACGAAACAAAAAAGCCTTCAAGTTGTGAATTTATTTTAAAAAAACTATCCAAGGGGGCTTGTTGAATATGTATACTACTTCATATCCGGATTTCCAAGAAAACTTTAGTGACCTGTTTCTACGAGATAAAATGGACAAATGTATCATATCCAAGTTATTTAAAGGAACGAAGTTATATATCAACATCCATAAATCCTATAGAGCAGGCGTAATTCACCAGGGGCGGATCCAGCCCTTTTCAAAAGAGGGGGTTCCCAACCCAGGATAAAAGGGGGGGGGGTTCCAACCATATGTCCCATTCAAATGCATTGATCGTCAGAAAAAAAGGGGGGTTCCAACCCCCGGAACCCTCCCTCTGGATCCGCCGCTGTTCATAATGTATAAAATGTAAAATTACAGCCAACATTGTGTCAAATTAAGGTCCTCTTATTCCCAATTCTCTGAGAAGCCCTAACATTAAATGCTTGATCCGCACATATGTCTTTTGTCTCATGTTTTCGTAAAATTGCGTCAAAAATTTGTCGTGAAAAAAGTGTTTGTATACATTATAATAATTTCTAGACCAATGGCCGGTCTGGATATGAAAATACAGACTGTCAAACAAAAAATAGCCCATACAACATGGAAAAACAATCTTGCTGTTCATATAAGCCCATTTTGAAGGCTTTAAAATTGGTCATCAGCTGTCAAAAAATGAATTTTATTGCACAATAACTTTCATATTTGAAAAATCCGCCGGGACCAATATGCAAACTACACCCCTTACCGTCTGTATTGCTTTACCTTCATATCACCAACACATCAACACGGGGAAAAAATAATGGAGAAATTCCGGCGATCAATTGATACTATTATTACTTCCTTATATATAGCCCGTCCTTCGATGAAATACAATCAAGGACCACTCATTTCAATATATATTCCATGCATCTGTGTTATTTTAAAACCCGGAAAATATATATCAGTGGAAAACCCAGCTCTTTTTATTGAAGGAAGCACTTCTAGTTAACTTTTTATAACCGGACATTAGCTCCTTTTTTGCTTCTTTTTATGTCCTCATATGTTTAGAAAACCGTTTAAACGTCTTTAAAGCTAGTGGGGATTTTTCTTTTGGGCTTGGGGTCGTACATTTGGGAAAGCTACATTTACCAATTATAAAGATAAAGGTTAACAAAACAAGAATATTTAAAAGTGATGGAAATAAAGTAAAGATGAAGCAAACTACAAGGCACAAGTTATAATATTACGGTTGATCCATATCATTTCCATTACCAGAAATACTCTTTTACTATACTCTGATTTCTCACGTCATTTAAACGTGTTATGGGCTAACTTAATCCCTGCATCTTTGAACTGACAAAGTAAGTGCGACTGCTTGAGATTTTTTAAAACACCCGTCCTTATTCTTATGTACATAATCCAACCCTACCTAAAGAAATATATTAATTTTATCATTTAAAAACAGTTATGGAAGCAGTCATAAGGAAGTTATCCCCATTAGAATATTCATCCCTTAGCTCAACGTACTGACGTACATTTTATGCCCAACTCGATATCATTGAGATGGAAGCCATCTCTGTAGGCCCCTCTGTGAATAACATGTGGTAAACAATTTGTATTTTTACCATAGGGCAAGGGGTTGTCAACTGAAACCAGTGTTTTTGACCTTGACCTTTGACCTAGGAAGTTGTACATACATTATGACACACCATCTGATGTTGGTTAATATACTTGTCAAGTATAAACTTTGAAATCATAACGGTTCTCAAGATAAAGAGCGGACACGATCTTTACCATATGACATGGGGCTGTCAACTGAAACCAAAGTTTTTTTACCTTGACCTTTGACCTAGGAAGTTGTACATACATTATTACACCCTCTGGTGTTGGTTAATATACATGTCAAGTATAAAGTATGAAATTATAACGGTTCTCTAGATATAGAGCGGACACAGTTTGTTGCGGACGGACGGACAGACGGACAGACTGATCACTATAGGCCCTAATAAACGCACAAATGACGTCAAATAACGTCACCCAAAACCAAACTTTGACGGAAAGATAACGATTGGAATGAAGCGTATATTTACTCTTTGTTCCAGATATCGGAATTTGATATCCTAATGAGCAGTGCAATATGAAATTTCCAAAGAAACATACCCGGGAAAAAGGTTAACTTGTATTTAATTCTTTATCACACGAATCTGAAAAAAACCCAGAAATTTACCAAAGTCAATGAGACAGCAACCCAATAAAACTATAGATATATCTTTAGAGTTTTTTTTATGTTGGGTTGTTGTCTTCACCCGCATTTATATATATGAAAAAAATCTGCATGTAAATGTTACTGGACCAAAGCATCACAGACGGGAAGACCTAGTTATGACAAACGCACATCATGTTAATAGTACTTGAGCAAATCAGCACAAAAGGAAAACCTTAATAGAACAAGCATTCTGAGAGTATTGCATAGCAATACATAGTCCCCTACCGGTTAAAAATTCATTGTATTGGAACAAAATGCTAACTTGATCTATAACTTGTAATGGTGTAAACTATATAACAAATATCAAGTCAATATCTTCAAGCATGACGAAAAAAAGTGTTGAAAACTGATTATTTAGGTGAATTTTCTAAGTCCAAGGACCATAACTCTGCACAAAATCATCAGACTGGAACAAAATTCCAACTTGATCTGTAACTTGTCATGATAAAACTATATACCAATTATCAAAACAATATCTTCAAGCATGACGAAAAAAATGCAGAAAACTGATTATTTGAGCCAATTTTCTAAGTCCAAGGACCATAACTGCACAAAATCATCAGACCGGAAAAAAATTCGAATTTGATCTGTAACTTGTCAAGATAAAACTATATACCAATTATCAACTCAATATCTTCAAGCAT